CCACGAGAATAAATCTTCCTCTTTATAGGGGAAGATTCATTCTCGTTTGGCATGTTGATTTCGTACTCTTTTTTGTTTGGTGCAGAATGTTGTTTGTTTTTTTGTGTTTTTCTTCTGCTTTTTCTTTTTCCATGATGTACTACCTGTTGCCCGAGGCTCAGCAATAAAGTCTGAGGCTCCGAGCCTTAGGAAAGATACAAAGAAGACTAGCATCATCCCAGCACAAGGATGACAGGCATAAGTCAAGAAATTATGGTCCAACTTATTTATTTAAAAAGCAAAAAAAACACGGCATCCCTAGCTCACCTGCCACACCCATGAGCTGTTGAAATACACATCTCAGTTCACATGAAATTGAAATACAACAATTTTCAAAAAAAAAAAAAAAAAGGCCCGAGATTCATTTTCCTTGACCGTCGGCCAAAGAGGTCAGCCGCGCCCCCTGTCCCACTAGCAAAGTGAAATGGATTGAGAGGCTGAATCTGAATGGGTTTTAACTTTTAAGCTGAGATGCAGAAAAGTAGTTCGATAGCAATTTTCAGCACCTCTCCACAAACACATCAAGGTCCAGGCATTAAATCCAATCCTCTTTGCTAGTGGGACCTTCCCCCTGAAGAATGTAGAAGACTAAGGAAGAGTACATCACAAATTGGTTGGGCTTAAAGAATTAGCCTTTAAAAAAATAATAATAATAAAAAAAAAAGTTTGCCTGGAAGAGGTATCAGTGGATAAAACCACTCCTACCTCTTCCAGGCAAAATTTTGTGATGCACTCGTGCACGTTCTTCAGGGGCCAGGTCCCACTAGCAAAGAGGAATCCAATTGGATCTAAAAAATGACAATAAAGTGTTTTGTCACAGCGGCAATTTGACGCATTTTCCATTATTTAATGTTTTGCCCCTCAAGCCGTTCTCCACACTATGCTACAGTAGCCCTCATGAACTTGTGCTACCGGTCCCCCAAAGTTTCTAGTGGGGGGGGGAGGGCCGGTTTAAACTGGCCCTCCCCCGGCCGCTAGAAACTTTGGGGGACCGGTAGCACAAGTTCATTAGGGCTACGATAGCATAGTGTGGAGAACCACCACAGTGGCAAAAATGGAAAATGCGTCCGCATCCTTTTTTCTTTTTTTTTTTTCTTAACAAAACACAGTCTCCAATCTATCTGTGGGGAGCATCAAGCCCTGAGAACCGGGCTCAGCGTCCCTTATGAACTCCGTGGATTAGAGTTTTGAGGCAGAAACATATCAGTTCTGAGGCAGAAACACATCAGCATGAGACCAACCGAAACGATCACTGTCCTAGAAACCGGGTCCAGCGTCCCATACCTCTGGGCTCTGGCTAATCTGAAACCAAAAAAACAGGAACCTGCCTCTTCGTCCATCACCCTGGATGCCAGTGCACGCCGAAAGACCGGCGGGAGCCACTGGGGGGCACCAGTGGGACCTCCTTCTGTCTCCTTGCCCGCCCCAGATTTTAAAATATCTTCAGACCAGGATTTCCGTCAAGGCGAGGTCATGGAGAGGGAAGGGTCCGGGAAATCTGTGGGGGGGCGCAAAGGAAACGAGGGTTCCACTTAATATGCTTTTTCTCGAACGATGAGGACCAAATCACCTATCTTCATGCAGTGCCCCAACACACAGCTAACCTGGCGATGGTGGGACGGTATCTGAAGGAAAATGGTGCCCAATATCCCCGTTTTATCTCAAAGTTTTTTTTTGGGGGGGAAGTGCGTTTATATCACAACAGAGTAACTGTTTATAATCGGCAAAAGAAAAACGCACGGGCGAAAGGAACACTTGCCGTCGAAAGGGCAATGAAAGTAGTCACCGAACTCGAAAGGGCAATGGAAGTACCGCTGCCGTGGTGTCAGGCCGGGTGTCATAACGACAGGGGTCAGCCGTTGCGTCAGAGGTGCTGTCCTATGTGGTAAGAGCAGGCCCTGACTGCACCACAGTCAGATGGCTCCATCCTATTGGTGGGGAACTCCACCTGCTGGAAACCGGGTCCAGCGTCCCATATATAATGAATGCTCAGAATATCCCCTGGCCCTTGTCTTGGCAGGCACTTCTGGCAGGACGCTGGCCACCCGCACAGATTCTGAAGCTTCAAACTTTGCTGAGAACATGCTCAGCATAGCCTGGGCAGGTGGGCAGTCTTATGGGCCCTCTGGTGGCAAAGATATCTCTTTCCTGAAGTCACAGAACAAATTAAACAGCAAACCCAGATAGAGCTGACAAGCCGGTGGCTTTCTCCTAAACAACAGCTGAACCTGTACAAGGAGGGTGACTGCTTCCTTCTGCACGGACTGGTTGGGGGAGGAGAGGCGGGCCCGGGCTGGATAGCCAGAGTGGAATGGAGTAGGGGCAGGTTATACAACCCGCAGAATCTGAAAGAGATTAGAGGCTATCATCTAGTTCTCAATGACTGGACCAGCGTTGGACCCTCCTTCCCTCTACGCCCCCCCTCAGATTTCCCCGACCCCTTTCCTGCCTTTTTTTTTTTTTTTTTTTTTTTTTTTTTTTTTTTTTTTTTTTAAATGCCCCCTTTAGTGCTAGCGGTGCTGGTACGAGCAGGTACCTGGGGAGATGCTCCGTCTACTGATGGGGAGCACCACCTGCTGGAAAGCGGGTCCAGCGTCCCATATACAGAATGAATTTGGAGAATGTCAGGACAAAAGTCTAGAGGGACCCCTGCCAGTCCCTGCCTGAAGTGCTGTGCTAAAAACGTCCTGAGATCCCCCTCTTCCTACCCACAACGAAGTTCAATAAATTATGCCTACCTGAGAGGCCCCTCGGAGCAGCTAGCAGCAATCTTCCCTTTGATGGCCCCCTGAGCGGTGAAGGCCGCAGCTGCCCCGGCCTCGCAGTAGTGAGCCCTGTATACCACCACAATGGGAGGCCCCACGGGTGTCATCGCCTGGTGCCCCCCAGATGGGTCATGTCGATTTCCAGGACAAGGTCCAAGGACTGAGAGAGAAGTCTCTGTGTCCCCTGGAGCACCCCAGGGTAGACAGAGCTGACTCGGTACACAGGACGATGCACTAGACCTTTATCATGCTACAATAGTCCAGCTAAGATCAGTCCCTCATCCTATGTATCCCCTGCGGCCGCGCTCACCGTGGGCACGACCGCGGGCCGCGGTCAAAAATGGCCCGCCGCAGCCGATTGGAGAGGGGTTCGGGGAATTGGGGACCGGTTTTCGAGGAGGGGGGGGGGGGTGGTCTACCACCCCACAGTGAAAAAAGGTAAAAAAGTACAAACTGGGGGGGTGGTTTTAGGGGGGTATGGGGGGTGTTGAAAAAAAATCAAGGACCCCCCCAAACCGAGTTCCGCCGGCGCCAGGGTGTCGGCGGGGAGGTATACTTCCACTATAAACAAACAAAATGTTTTTTGTTTCTTTCTAGACTTCGTTTAGGGAGTCTTGTCCTGAAAGGGGTTTTGAAAGGGGGCATTGGGGAAGGGGAGGGTGGATGCAAGTAGGTGGGGGGAGGGAGGGGGGGGGCGCGGGGGTGTTTGGTTGGGGTCCTTGGGGGTGGTGTGGGGTTGTTGTGGGGGGTGGTAGCGGGGTGTCTATGGACGCGAGGGTCCATTCTTGGGTGGGTCAATGGAGGTTTAATATAGTTTTTTGGCAAAGAAGGGGCAACAAAAATACCACACAAAAAGTATTACACTGTTAGTGCAATGGATCGCACAAAGCATGAACAATATCAGACTATGCATCAAATGTACTGCACATGAGGTTCGAGGGCTCAATTAACAACAGGGTCACAGGAACACACAATGTCACACACCAATATCAATCACCATACATGAGCATGTTAAGGTACGTCACGCAAGAGGGTTTCATAAGCGCATAAAAAGGGAGATGAGTGAATGAAGACAAAACAACCAAGTGGCACGGTAAGGCCTGCGTGTGGCGATATACAAAAAATGCCAAGTATCAAGAGTACAGATAACATCACATCCCACCTCGGAACGCATCCACCAAATGAAACTCCTGCGTGACTGAGTCCACATGGACAAAAACCTGCTAACAGTACATCGTCAAGACAGAGATAAAATATAACATACCCACTCCACCTGCACCGGACAGGTTCGTGGTATATCAGCTACAGATAAAGTAAAGACAAAAAAAAACCACTAAAGACTACAGTGTCAAACTGAGATAAAATAACAGAAAAAGTAAAAAAAAACTAAGGTGACGTCATCTAACTACTCCCTACGTTCTCCACATGGACAAAGACTTGCTGACAGTGCAAGACCGGGATAAAATACAACATACCACCTGCACCGGACAGGTTCGTGGCATATCAGCTATAAATTAAATAAATAAAAATAAATGTCTCTAAATACTAAAGTGCCAACCTCATATAAAATAACAGAAAAAGTAATAAGTTAAAAACAACCAAGGTGATGTAATCTACAAGTATCTAACTCCTCCTACTGCGCCTCCCTCGAGTCCCGTGACGAGCTGCCCCTAATCTGCTCCCGGAAGGTGCACTCTGTCCCCCCCCATGTGCCGCTCTCTCTATGTGTCGAGGCTCCGTATGCGGATCCCCTGCTGCGGCAGGCGCGGCTGCAACAGCCGCTGCTCTCCTGGCTCTGTACCTCCGCGCAACAACGTCGATGGACTCTGTCTCCGTGTCCGCCTCGTCCCCGTGCGTCTCCGACTCGGCAACCCTATCCTGCTCTTGAACCAACTCGTCCAAATGTTGTCGCTCGGCAGCAATCTGAGCCTCTAGGCCACTGATGGATCCGTAACGTCGCACCCCTGCTGGGATACGTAAATCGCCCTCCTCGCCCGACGTGTAAGGCAATCCTCGACGTCTATCCTCAACAGCACCTGGGGCCGGGAATACCACCTGCCTCCTCGTTTGTCTATTCGACAATCCCAGGATACGTGTTGTCGTGTGCACACTGGATCGTCCCACGTCTGCAACGCCCTCGTCCCCCACATTTGCCCCCGCTGACGAACCTCGGGCAAATATCCCTTGTCCCCTGTCGTAATCCCTCCTCAAACGGTCTGTGACTCATCTGCAAGACGACCACCCACCGCCTGATGCCCCTCGATTGTCGGATGTCACTGCTTTATCGCCGGTACGCCTGTGCTGTGGTGAATCTGGTGATGGACATAACGACAGTGGACGTCATGGGTGCATGTCTCTAGCCGACCCCCCCCCAAAAAACAACTGCGGCCTATCTGTCTTAGGCCTCATCCCCTCTGACATCACTTCGTGACGACCCTGACCATCGGGGGCTCTCGAGCACCCACCTTGGAGGCAACGCGAATCCATCTGGCGGTCGACGGAGATCGCTCCTCCGACCTGTGTGATCGTAAGGGTCCTCTATCCCCGCACGTTCCAACTGCTCTGACCGGGTGGGGTGGACTCCCCTAGCCTCTTGTCCAACCGGCGACCCGGGTGATCGTCATCAGCGTAAAACGATGACCTTGGCCTCACAATCAACGCAAGGGACATGTCTCCCGCTGCGTCCCACGATGGGGACAACCGTGCCTCCTCGTGAACGTGAACCCCACCCTCCATGACAGGACAGCGTCTTGCACCAGTGTCACTGCCCTGATGGTCGGTGTGCAACCCTACCTCCTCCTCCATAATGGCATCCCCCACGTGCAAAGTATCATGGGCTCTCTGCGTCCCACCCTCCATGTGTGCAGCGCAAAGGCCAACGATCACTCTGTCGATGATGTCCTGGTCTGGAGCCTCTCTCCCGTCGCCGCCGTCCGAGCAATCAGCTCCTGCATCCTGATCGCCGTCATCGTGGCCGCTCCCGCTCTCGGGTGCATGCTCCCCCTCCGCGGCACGCTCGCTCGCCACACCAACGGCCGGTCTACCACTGTACATCTGGGAACCACCATCGGTCTGTACTGCGCCGGTGTCCAACTCCCTCAACCTGCGCTGCTCGGCCTCGTATGCCTCTCCACCCGCCCACCTCCGCATAGACTGCAACCGTGCATCCTCCTCACGATCAAGGCGGACGTCCCTCTCCTCGGTTGTCTCCTTTCTTTGGCTCGCATTTGTCCCGGGCTCGGGCTCCTCTGTAATCTATAACGCAAGACAGGCGATCGACCATGACAGCCATCGACGTCAAACTATGTATTACCCGCGGTCGCGACCACGGGCCATTTTACCGGCCGCGGTCGGGTGCGGGCATGAAACCCCGATAATCTTTTCGGGGCAAACAAATAGGTCAAAATATATATATATATATATATATGGGCGTGTAGATAAAGAAAAGCTCTACACGCTTATGATTTTTAATATTTTTTTTTACATTTAATAGAAAAAAAAGAAAAAGAAAAAATGAAAACAAAAAACAAACGGAGATGAAATTTCATTTTTCATATTTTTGGTTTATTGGGCCGGTGGCGAAACACTGACCCACACACACACACACACACAATCAATCAATCAATCAATCAATCAATCAATCAATCAATCAATCAACAAACCAATCCCAATCAATCGATTTGATTGATTGATTGATTGATTGATTGATTGATTGATAGATTGATTGATTGGTTTGTTGATTGATTGATTGATTGATTGATTGATTGATTGATTGATTGATTGATTTATTGATTGGTTGGTTGGTTGATTGATTGATTGATTGATTGATTGATTGGTTGATTGATTGATTGATTGTGTGTGTTTATGTGTGTGTGTGTTGGGGGGGGGGGGGGTTGTGTACGCAACACGGCTATCCCGTACTATACGGGAAACAAGATATTTCACAGCTCATGGCAGATCAACAGAGACAGTTAAGATAGCCATATGGCTATGGAGGTAGCAGCCAGAGCTCTTGCGGTTATCGAGGAGCACAACCGGTTAGGAGATTAGCATTCGTGGGTTAGAAGTTAGGAAAGGGCAAAAGCCCAGCCCAAAGGGTGCACGCCCTAAAGCGCGCTTTTGGCCGCATAGCACCCATAGCGGCTCATCAGAGGGATTAGCAATTAGTGAGCTCCTGTTAGCAAAAGGGTTGAGTAGGGGAGGGGGAGGAGTATGGTATGGGGCAAGCGGGTGTAAGGCAATGTGGGTATCAGAGGTCCATACCTGAGCTGTCATGGTCGGTGCCGCTGGACAGTCAGTCGCCGCCATAGCTCCCAGTGAGACTTGTGCAGCGCGAAGTCAGGTAGCAAGCACTTCAAGCACAGTGGTTAGTGTATCACACGCGTGCTATACCAGACGCAGGTATGGGATCAATTTTGGGTTGAATCCCTGTGGGCAAGTAGGGCAAGAGGAATGGCCAAGCAGGCAGGTCCAACTGCAGGAGTCTGCAGAGCATGCGAGGGCACAGTGCTACCAAGGCATAGTAGCAGCAAGCTCGCCCGACTGCGTGTGGCAGGTGTTGGAAGGGGCGCGCTGGCGAAGTATATATCCTGCGATCCATGGTGGGAGGGTTGTAAGTTATTGCTACTGTGGGGATAACGTAGGGCTGGGGATGATAGCGTGGCTCCGGTTCGGAGGGGTTGGGGTTGGCTTCTTTGCAGATAGTGGCAGTAGATGGAGTGGAAGCAGTTCCGGGGTCGACTAGTATAGGCGGATGGGATTGGGGATGGGTGCTTACTTTGGTATGGGATTATTACAACCATAGGTGCATATGTGTGGGTTCGCATTGTGGAGGGGGTGAAGGGGTACTGCAAGCGGTAGGTCATACAGCTGCGTTGCGTCGTCACTCTTCCTATTGTTTTTGCTCACGCATCAGTGCGTGCAGGTTGTGGATTCCTTGTCGTTTTGGGAGAAGGTCAGGCTATGGTGGAGGATGGGATCGGCATGGTTTGTCTGTCCTGTTTGCCTGTCCGTTTGTCCCGTAGCGGGTCAGGCGCGTCGTTTCGAGGTAGTGCCTTTTGAAACGGGTTTTTTTGCGTAAGTCTTCGTATGGTACCCGAGAGCGGGCGTCTTTTCGCGGTCCCTAAGGCTCGTGGCTAGTGGTCCCTCCCCTTTTAAAAAAACCTTATTTCTTTGCATTGGGTGGGGGTTCCTATTTGGATACAGTAAGGATGTATATTATAAAAATATTTAGGGTATGCGGGTGTACCGGTCTGCAGCAGCGGTAGCAAAAAAATTGTTCCCCGGTATCCTGCATCAGGGGTGATAGCCAGAAATTGGTTCGTGTATAGAGGGCAGTTATATATTGAAAAAAAGGTCAAGATATATATTTTTATTATTGATTTTTATTTTTTATTATTATTATCTCTTTTTGAGCGAGGAGAGGTGGTTCTCAGGGTTTATTTATATGGCTGAATAAAACAAATTATTAATTTGACTTTTCTTAATTATTATTTTATTTATTTATTTATTTATCTTTTTATTGTATTTTTTAAAAAATATATATATTTTCGATTCTATTGTGTTTTTTTTTATTTTTTTTTTAATAGTTTTTTTTTTTTTCTTTACTTATTTTATTATTTTTTATTATATTTTTATAAAAATTATAATTTATTTTTATTTTTATTTTTATATAAAAAATATTTTTTAATTATTTTTTAATTATTTTGTTGTTAAAAAATCATTATTATATATGTTGATTATTTTAAAGTTATTATGTGTGTGTGTGTGTGTGTGTGTGTGTGTGTGTCTGCGCGCGCGCTTGCACGCGTGTGTATGTGTGTGCGCGTGTCTATGTGCGCGCGGGTGTGTGTGCGTGCGGGTGTGTGTGTGCGCGCGCGCGCGCGTGTGTGTGTGTGTGTGTGTGTGTGTGTGTGTGTGTGTGTGTGTGTGTGTGTGT